TAAGTATGTGCCTCTGCTGGGATCACCATCCTCTGCTCCCAGTTGAGAAATGGCAAATGCTTCAGGGGAAAGCAGCTCACTGACTATCAACCCACCTCTCTGCAGTTTTCTCCTCTGGGATCTTGGCTCTCAGGTTCTGGCTGACTCAACAGTAGTCTCCAATACCTTCAATAAGATTAAATATTAACACACACACACACACACACACACACACACACAGTTACTTACATTGTTCTTGGCTGGAACATTGCTCGGTTTGCCACAAGCTGCAACATCTTAGCCACAAACAAAAATATCTCTATTTCCTCTTAAAATGATCCTTCTAGGGCCTACTGACCTAATTATTTACTGGTTTCAATTGTAAGCTCTTAACTACCGTAATTGTTACTAAATATATGTGGGGTTTGTTTGCTTTTTGACTTTGGTTTGTTTTTACTGACTGTGTTAGATGAATTCTGCCAAGACCCTGAACTAGCATTGATTAAAGTCATTTGGAGCTGATAGAGTCTTCCCCAAAGAGTGATTTATTGTTGCAAATAAATTGAGATTCTACTCCATTATGTGAGAGCCTTTGTGAGGACTTGACCATAAGAGGACCTCTACTTTTCTGAGGCTAATAAAGGGCTGTGATGGTGTTAGTCTCTCAGTTGTGTCCGACTCTTTGTGACCCCATGGACTGTAACCTACCAGGCTCCTCTGTCCATGGGATTCTCCAGGCGAGAATTCTGGGGTGGGTTGCCATTCCCTTCTCCTGGGGATCTTCCCGACCCAGGGATTGAACCTGGGTCTCCCACATTGCGGGCAGATTCTTTACCGTCTGAGCCACCGGGAAACGAACAAAGGGTAGGGACGTTCATTTATTTAGGGTGGATGTGGTCGTCAGCCTACCCAGGCCATAAGCAGAATTGTGAACTAGACAAACTATGTCTCCATGGTGCCGGCAGCTCCTTCCTGCGCTCTATTCTGACACCTCCTCACTAGGTACTGATGTCTAGTGTGACTCAGCCTGACAGGTGGGGCTCAACATGGCCAAGTGTGTCCAGAGACGCAGGCATCAGACCCAGGCACTTTCCCAGTTTTTTTCTGATGAAACAGCTAGCCTTTGTTTATACCCCAGGGACTTGCTCTCCCTGAATTTGACCCCATCAAACAATGGCTTCATACGTTGCTGGGTCTGGAGTCCCTCCACACATTAACCTAACACACTGTGCCCAAAAGGTGTGGGTTGGAGTATGAAGATTGGTGTCAGAGAAAGTAGCTTCTCCTTGTCCTCTTCCTGTTGTGGTACAATCTACTGTAATTGAACAGGACACCAGGAGACCTGAAATCTGTGCTTTTTCCATCTATCAACTGGGCAGTCATTTCTGCCCTTCTTTTCTCACCTTGCCTTGAAAAGAAATGACACCATTGAATTCAGACCACACAAGCTATTGTTTCCCACTGGGTTTATAGATTTGGAAGTGTGAAAAAGCATTTCTGAACTCCTAAGAGAAATGTGGTTTATCCAAGATGTTATTTTAATGACAGAGTTTGTCATGGCTCAGAGTGGGGTGCTGTCAAAAGTCAACAGAACTGGAAAAATATAAATAAATCTTCCTTGGCGAGAAAAAGGAAATCAGTAGTTAAGGAACCCTGACACAGCATGAGTGCCTGGTGATATTTCAGGCTGTTTACCCATTATTAGCCTCCTGGTCACTGACTGCCAAGTCAATGAATTTTTAATTTTCTACTCCCAAGGTCATGGTCAATCCAGATTCAAGACATGACAGAATAATATGACCCACTTTTATGATTTTAAAGAAAAGTGAGGGGAAGATAGAGCGAACAGTGCTCTAAAAACTTATTACCACCTTCAACTGGGACTTGAGCTTGAGTTTTTCCTCTAGCTGTTTCCATAGTTTGATTACCATAGGATAAAATAGGATGCTAACTCTTTAATATCATTTCTCATACTCTCACTCATCATCATCTCAGTTTATCATGAGGTTGTCCCTCAGAGCTGGGTTCTTTTAACAGCCTGATTCACTGTTTAGCTGCATTGCCTGGCATAAGACACGACAGCTGTGCTTTAGTTTGGTCATCACTGAATAGGGATAAGATTAGTTCTCACCCTGTTGGCTCACAGAGTGTTCAAGAGAATTTACCAAGGAGATGAAAAGTGCTTTATAAAATGTGGTCTTCTTAAGGGCTAGTAAACATAATTTTGGACTATCTAGAGCAGCAATCCCCAACCTTTTTGGCCCCAGGGACTGGTTTTATGGAAGACAATTTTCTATGCACCTTGGAGGAGGGGATATGGTTTCAGGATGGCTCAGGCGCATTATACCTATTGTGCACTTTGTTTCTATTATTATTACATTGGCTCCACATCAGATCATCAGGCATTAGATTCAGGAGTTTGGGGACCCTGATCTAGAGTGTGATCTAGTTGGCTTCCCTGGTAGCTCAGTTGGTAAAGAATCTGCCTGAAATGCAGGAGACCCCAGTTTGATCCCTGGATTGGGAAGATCCCCTGCAGAAGGTATAGGCTACCCACTCCAGTATTCTTCCCTGGAGAATTCCATGGATAGAGGAGCCTGGCAGGCTACATGGAATTGCAAAGAGTCAGACATGACTGAACGACTTTCACAGTCACAGATCTAGAGTGTGAGATGGTAAATTAAAGCCTTGTTGGTTTAATAATTTAAACCATTAGAATTAATAGAAATGCTGTTTGGAGAGTTTTATCCCATGTGCTCTTTCTACCACTGGATCCCACCATTAGCTCAACTTGAGAATTGATGAAATAAAAATTTCTTAATGACAGTGATCCCAGTAGAGGTCTGGCTTGGAACAGAGTTTTATATTATTAATATCTTGGAAGCTTGGGATTGATATAATGTTAGTCTCCAATGCAGGAAGTTTTTCCAACTTTAGTCCTTAATTTGGACCAGAGAGGTAGTTTGGACTATTTGCTATATGATGGTAAATGGGAACTCTGAGCTCTTTCAAATTGTCTGCCTTCTGTACTCTTTCGCCGTATCTCTCTTCCTCAGATCTCTCCCTGGTTCATTTTCATGATCATCATGACACGTCTCTAATAACACTTCAGTTGTTCTTACAGTGTATCAGGCAACTCTGTGAGTGCTTCACATATGTTGAATTCACTTACTTCTCTCAACAGCCTCCTTTTACTATTATTGTTTTTTTTTTTAACAGCCTCCTTTTAAAGACAAGCAGGCTGAGTCTCAGGGCAGGTGAAGGACTTGTCCCTGTTTCCATAGCTCGTAGATTGCAAAGCACGGGGTTATTATTTTTTTAATTTTTATTGCAATATGGTTGATTTATTGTGTTGTGTTAGTTTCAAGTGTCCAGCAAAGTGATTTAGTTATATATATAATTTTTCAGAATCTTTTCCATTATAGGTTATTACAAGATATTGAGTAGAGTTCCCTGTGCTATACAGTAGGTCCTTGTTGGTTATCTATTTTAGATTTTAATCCCAAACTCCTAATTTATTGCTCCCCCCTTCCCCCTTTGGTGACTATAAGCTTGTTTTCTATGTCTGTGAGTCTGCAAAGCAGGGGTTTAAACCACGGTGGTCTGTACCCAGAGTTCATGTCTTAACAATACTGCTGAGCTGCTCATCTATCATTGCTTCATGTGCCTGGGACCAGGAATCCCCAGAGAGATTAAAGTTTTCTGAAAACCTACACCTGCTCTCTTGAGGACTTAAAGGACAGTAAAACTCCATGCAGGACCATTTGCTCGGTGTTTTGGTCAGTTTAGATTGTTATAACAAGATACCATGAGCTAGGTGGCTCAGATAGCAGAGCGTATGTCTCACAGTTTGAGAGGCTGGAAGTCTCTAGAAGGATAGACTGGAAGAGATCAGAGTGCCAGGGTGGCTGCCGTCTGGTGAGGACCCTCTCCCGGCCTGCAGACCACTACCCTTTCACTGTGTCCCCACATGGCAAAGAGAGAGCGTCCGCTCCTTAAAAGACACTCTCATCACGGGGGGCTCCACCCAGAGGGTCTAATTACCTCTCAATGCCCCGACCCCTGAATACCCTTCTCCTTCTCCTGGAGGCTCGGGTTTCAGCCTCTGAGTCTGAGGGAACACACAGCTGCGACTCTCAGCAATGATGACTACTGTTCTTCTGGGTTCCTTTCTCCTGAACAACTCCCTTCCTTAGAGTGTCCCCAATGGACAGGGACGTTGGGAGGAGATGCAGAGCTACCAGGACTGGCTGGTTGGGGATGTGTGGGCCCTCAGCAAGGGGGACTGAAACCCCCTCCACCACTGCAGTCTCCTCTGTCACAAACTGACGGAGCCATGGAATATCAGGATCTGAAGGCAACCTCATAATTGAGACCCAGTGAGGCAGGTCTGGGGGCTTCCCAGGTGGCGCCGGAGGTAAAGAGCTCGCCTGCCAGTGCAGGAGACATAAGAGATGTGGGTTCGATCCCTGGGTCGGGAAGATCCCTTGGAGTAGGATATGGCAACACACTCCAGTGTTCTTGCCTGGAGAACCCCACGGACAGGGGAGCCTGGCGGGGCTGCAAACAGTCGGACACGACTGAAGCGACTTAGCACGCACACACAGGCAGGCCTGTGCCCTTTCCAGAAAGAGGTCATGCTGTGCCCTCGGGGCTGGCGAGAGGGTGCAGGACACCCAGACGCTAGCTAGATGGGAGGGGCTAGGTAACTTCGAGCTCACATCACTTCCCTAGCCCTAGACATTTGAGCAGGAAGGGGGTGAGGTGCAGGACAGAATGGGTGATACCCAGGGGTCTCCCCTGGCAGATCTGTATTCAGGGCAAAGAGGATGTCTCGGGGCCACGTGGTAAAGATATTGGCGTGTGTGTTCTGCCCCACACGCCCGCTTGGGACCTGCAACCTGAAGGCAGGAGGTTGTGCATGGATCCAGTTGTGATGAGGGATGGTATACACAACGGGAAAAGATTTTTGTTGGCACCCCACATACTTGAATGAATGAACACTTTCTCATCTTTTCTAGCAGCAGTGTCCTTGTGAAACGGATGTTCAGGCCCATGGAAGAGGAGTTTGGTCCAGCACCCTCTAAGCAGATGAAAGAAGAAGGGATGAAGCGAGGTACATGTGCCCTCGGGGCTGGCGAGAGGGTGCAGGACACCCAGACGCTAGCTAGATGGGAGGGGCTAGGTAACTTCGAGCTCACATCACTTCCCTAGCCCTAGACATTTGAGCAGGAAGGGGGTGAGGTGCAGGACAGAATGGGTGATACCCAGGGGTCTCCCCTGGCAGATCTGTATTCAGGGCAAAGAGGATGTCTCGGGGCCACGTGGTAAAGATATTGGCGTGTGTGTTCTGCCCCACACGCCCGCTTGGGACCTGCAACCTGAAGGCAGGAGGTTGTGCATGGATCCAGTTGTGATGAGGGATGGTATACACAACGGGAAAAGATTTTTGTTGGCACCCCACATACTTGAATGAATGAACACTTTGTCATCTTTTCTAGCAGCAGTGTCCTTGTGAAACGGATGTTCAGGCCCATGGAAGAGGAGTTTGGTCCAGCACCCTCTAAGCAGATGAAAGAAGAAGGGATGAAGCGAGGTACCGCTCCCCCTGGGGCCCTGCCTTCCTTGGCCTTGCTCTCATGAGGAAGAGTGGGGGACGGTTCACCCAGAAGAGCTGACATTCCGTCCGGGCCCTGCAGTTCCGTGCTGGCCTGGAGATGTTCTTATTGACACAGGAAGTCCACAGTGTCCTCCTTTGCTTTTCAACCTTGTCTCTTTAAACAACCTAAGCAAACATTTATTCTTTCTGGGCGCTGGTTCTTTCCTTTACCTTGAGGGAAATGTAATGAATATACTGACTCATCCAGCAGTGAGTTAGAACCGTAAAAAGAAACCCACGCTGTGTTTGACAATAACCTCTCTTAAACACTAAGAGCTGAGACTTATTCAATAGACGCCAGTGATTGATCATGGTACAAGAAAATGAACCTATTTTCTGTGACATCACAACTTAACTCATTTTTTCTCGGTCAAGGATATTATTCCACTTCACCAAGAGGGTAAGAAAGGAATCACGGGCATTTAGTGTCTTTTTCAGCATCTTAGTGCTTTGCTGACCCACTGTCCTAACTGGGAGTAAGAGGAAGGGGTGAAGGGGGGGGCGTACCCCACACACTCTGCTGTAGCCAACACCAAGAGCTTCCAGGACTTCTGGCTTATGCAGCACTGGACTGTTAGTGAGGCAGGTTGCACATTAACACAGGCTTGAGGTTTTTGTTATTGAGAATTGTTTCCCCTATTTGTTGAAATGGGTTTGCATAGTGGTGAGAATATCCCCTCTGCAGCCTCCCTCAGCCTCGTCACATTGTTTGACCTTGGGAAGGTCCTCTGTGAGTTGGAGTCCTCATTGTTTGACCTTGGGAAGGTCCTCTGTGAGTTGGAGTCCTCACTTGTAAAATGGGGACCACAAGAATACTTACATCACAGAGTAAGGATTGATGAGTTAATGTATGTAAAGCACCAAACTTAAGTGCCCAATGCATAGTAAGCACTCCATCTTCACTATTATAATTATTTGTTTTATTTTTAGGCCTGGATCTAGTTAAGGCATATTATCATAATTATGATTGAGTAATGAGCATTTCAGAATTCAAAGAGCATAAATGCCTGAGTAGTGTTGATTGCAGTAGTAATATTTAAACCTTTAAAGGCTTTTCAGATTTCTCAGGCTCACCATCAAATATTTGAGTCCATTTTGAACTCTGTTCCTGCATGCCTTTTATGTCTTATCCTTTGAAAGGAGGGCAGTGTTGTATGGAAATGAAGAATCACACAGGCCAAAGTAATTGCAGCTTAGATCCATAGTTAGTGAGTGTGGCTGGTCTAAAGTTTGTGTTTTTCAGATTATTTTGAGGTGGTGAAGTTAGCACAAAAATTGCCACCAGAATTTGTATTGGGCTGTGATGAGACACGGTTATGGCCTTTGAAACATCCAATCGTAGGGACACACGAGGGCGCTGCAACCTTCCAGCAATAGAGAACTCCCAGGAGTGGCTTTTCTTTGGAAAAGGACTGTGGAGTTCCTGAGCCCCTCCGCCAGGAGCTCCTCCTCTGAACTGGGCTGTGTTGAGCACAGGAGCCGGGATCAGAGATGGTGCCCACTGTTTGTTAGAAGTTCTCCAGGAGAGGGAGTGACCATGATTATCACCAGTGCCACTATTTGCTGCTTTGTCTTTGCAGCCACTTCTCAGGGAGGCTCCCTTGGAGTCACCGGGGCCTGGCCCCCCGTGGCTGGCTGCCTTTGTCTGTAGGAGGTCTTGGATGTGTGATAATGGTTATTGCTATCATTAGCGGAGTGATTATTATCCATAGATGCACAGTTAATGAGAGCTGTCTCTCTGGGCAATCCATGGGGGTGAGCTGTGAGCCCAGCACTGCCAGTGTGGCTGTCAACAAGCCCAGCAGGAGACGGTGACACAGTTTGCAGCCCATCAACCTGCCGCCACGCCCCCTTTAACCCTTTCCAGGGACTCCTGCGGCAGCGGTGCCAGCTGCACTATCTCATATCCAGTGGAAATGGTACTCACTTTAACAGAACATGGTTTGGGGTTTCCTTAGGATACTGGAGATTACGTTTTTCTGTTGGGGGTCCATGGGAAGAAGTTACAGAACATTCATCTGTAAAGAGGCGCCGGTGGGGGTTTTTGTATTGTTCTGTTTTGTTGTTTTTTATTTTAATTTCCCCCATCTAGTAGTAATTGAGGCCCTGTGGTCTGATTATTTCTCTCTGTGCTGCTAACATTGAGTCCTCATACAATGCCATTAGGTCACTAGCATTGTAGCTGAAATGGGGGCTATCCAGTATTGGAGATACTATTCTCCCATCTATTTCCTTGGTATTTTATTTTTATACTTGATGGAGAGAAGAAACTGCAATGCTTAAGGTTTTATTTTTTTCTTTCTGGGGCATCACAAAGAAACTGAACCTCTGGCTGCAGAAGGAGAATGTGGGCAGAGCCCATGTGCACCCATAGACGCCGCCGTTACAAAGCAGCAACTTTAATGATGTCCCTGGGGATTGGGCAGGAGGGGAAGAAGGGGTGGGAGTTTGGGTGAGAGCCGATTTCATTTCCCAGCTCCAACTTCATTGTTTCAGGCTGGTGGTGACCGAGGCTCAGTGGGTATCTGAGGGCGGTCAGGATTCGGGCTCAGCAGGGCTTCTGACCTGTGCATTCTTCCTATGGTGGCCAGGTGCATGGGGCTTCAGCCTTTGCCCCCTTCCTTCCCTCTGAAGGCAGAACCAGAGGCCATGTCATCACCCGGAGGAGGGAGAGAAAGGGCAGGCAGTTCACTGGGCCTGGAGAATCACATCTGAATAGCACTTCCTCGCTCTTCCCGGGAGCTAAGCCTGGCGCAGTTGCTGTAAGGGCGGGTCTGCAGTAACAGTGTGTCTTTGCTCCCTGAGGACCCCTGGGGTCCCTGCCTGGCTGTGCATTGCTGGATCCAGTAAGTTAGGTTATAGAGAAATGAGCAGAAACCTGCATGTGCCTTTGCCCAGGGAACCAGCGCCGTCACTACAGTTGCTTCATGATGACCACAGGGATGGAGGAATTGGGGGTGCCGCCTGCATGCCTGGTGCCCACGGCTGCTGTTTCATTTAACCCTCTCAGCAGCCCCACGAGGGAGGTTTCGCCCTCAGCTTGGAGGGGTTGAACGACCAGGGCCCCCCAGCAGGCTGAACCGGGCTCAGAGCCAGATCAGGTTCTCAGCTCCTCCCTCAGCTTGCCTCTGCCTTGCCCTGTCTCCCTGCCGGCCTGTTGGTCTGTCCACCTGGGGGCCGCTCTCCCTGTCGTCTCTCACCCTCCTCACCCCCATTGCCTGCATTGATGCCCCTACACCCTCCGTAACTCAGATCTCTCCTTCAGAGTAGCCTTCTGGGAGCCCTCCCTCCCCACCCCCTCGAAAAGCTCGGGCCCCTATAAGCCCCCACTTGTGGTTTTTTCCTCATGACTCTGACGCCCTGCCTGCTCCTTTGAGGAAAACCCACCTCTCTAAGTGGACTACGGACTTCTGAAGGGCAGGCTGTGTCTTAACTCATTGTGCGACCCCAGCTCCTGTCACACCGCCTGGGGCCTTGGGCCCACATAGATATCCAGTGATATTTGTTGAATGATCAAATAAATAAATAGAAGATAGAGGTCAGAGAAAGATGGGTCATAAAGAGATCGTGTGCCCACCTTAAGGAATTCAAACGTGATGGATGTTGACGTCTTACACCCTATTGTCGGTTTCTTTCATCGAATCCTGGGTAACAGTCCCTAGCTGCGGGTGCCTCGTCACCCGGGTGGATGTCGTCGGGTCAGGGGTCGGATAATGGCAGCCTCTGACCCCTGTGTGAGGGCAGCTGCGTGGGCTCCGTGGTCACAGCTTCCTGCCCTTCTCTTCTAGTGCTTCTGTACGTGAGGAAGGAGACGGACGACGTGTTTGATGCCTTGATGTTGAAATCCCCCACCGTGAAGGGCCTGATGGAAGCGGTAAGCGTGAGCCCCCTTCAGCCTTCCAGAAACCAGCATGTAGTCTCCCGGGCTGGAATCCATTTCTTAAAAGGCAGCCTTCGAGGTTGGCTCTGGAATGAGCTTTATAAAAGAAAAAGGAGAAGTGGAGATTTATGGAGACACTGATTTCTATCCTGTCATGGCTTATTCTCTTAAGGAGAAGGAAATTGAAAAACTACCAATTCCCTGTCAGTTTAAGGCTAATCAGAGTAAAGATGCCATAGAGGAAGGTTAAATTATGGGTTTCTATCACTCTCTTTGCAAGAAACCAAATTAGATGTGTTTAATTTCCAAATATGGGCTTCCCAGGTGTCACTATGATAAAGAACCTACCTATCAATGCAGGAGACATAAAAGATGAGGGTTCAGTCCTGGGATTGAGAAGATCCCCTGGAGAAGGAAATGGCAACCCACTCCAGTATTCTTGCCTGGAGAAGCCCATGGACAGAGGAGCCTGGCAAGCGACAGTCTATGGGGTCACAAGAGTCAGACACAACCGAGCGACTAAGCACAGCACATAGTGATAAGACAGTAGGATAGCCAAGGGCCAGTCCAGAACTTTTGTTAGTCTGGAAAACTGCTACTTTGAAACAGCCTTTTGGGCTATGGAGTAATATGTCAAAATGTATAAAACTGCCTATAAGTGGAATCATGCACTGTGTTGTCTTTTGGGGATGGCTTATTTCACTTAGCATAATGTTTTTGAGGTTCATCTATGTTGTACTATAAACCAGAACTTCATTCTTTTTAACAGTTGAGTAATAGTCCATTGTATGAATATACCACATTTCATTTTCCCATTTACCAGTTGATGGACAGTTGGATTTTCACCTCCACCTTTTAGCTATTGTGAATAGTGCTGCCATAAGCATCCAGGTACAAGTTTTTTTTTTTTTATTTGAATACTTGTTTTTTCAATTTTTTTGGATATATATAAGGAGTGGAATTGCTAGCCAGACACAAAAGATCACATTGTATGATTCAATTTTTAGGAAATGTCAAGAATAAACAAATCCATAGAGACAGAAAGCAGATTCGTTGTTGCCAGGAGTTCGATGAAAGGTGAATGAGGAAAGACTATTTTGTGAGTTTCCTTCTGGGCTGATGAATTGTTCTGAAACTACATAGTCCTGATGTTTGCAGAACATCGTGAATGCACTAAATACTACTGAATTGCACACTTTAAATGATTTAAGTGGGGAATTGTATGACATGTAAAAAAAAATTTATTTGTTCACCTGAAATTTTTTTTAAAAAGCATAAGAACGTCACCAATGCACACTGCGCCCCCTGTGGTTAGCATTGTTAGCCAATACAGACCAGGGCATGGAGGACCACCCTCTCAGAAAACACGTGAATGCCCGGCTTGGTGATCTCTTCTGTTCTCAGGATTTGCCACTGGAATGGACTTTGTCGTTACTGAATCTGCCCCTGTAAAGGGAAAACACAATCAGAAATGAACACAACAAAAAGCGGGAGCTCTACCTCTTCAAAAGAACCAAGGTTTTTTAAATGACCCTAAAATCACTGGAAGATTGATTCATGAGCTAGAGGAGCTCTTTGGATAGAGTTCATACCCTTCATACCCTACGTGCCTGCGTGCTAAGTTGCTTCAGTCATGTCCGACTCTCTGCGACCCATGGACTGTAGCCCGTCAGGCTCCTCAGTCCATGGGATCCTTCAGGCAAGAATAGTGGGTTGCCAGGGGATCTTCCCGACCCTGGGATCAAACCTGAGTCTCTTATGTCTCCTGCATTGGCAGGAGGATTCTTTACCACTAGTGCCACCTGGGAAGCCCTTCATACCCTTAATCAGGCCTGTAAGATCGTATTACTGAAACTGACTTAGCTGTTTCAAGTGCACAAACCTAGACCTCAACCCAGATTCCAATTCTGCTTAATTGGAGGTGGGGTAAGGATGGAGCTGCAGGAAACTATATTTTTAACAGTTCTTCAGGGAATTCTTAGATCACCAGTTGTGAGAACCACTGATCTAGACCAATTCTAAACGATTCATCACACCTTTTTCCTTGGTGTCTTCCTTTCCTGTCTGTGACATCTGTTCAGTTCTACAAGTGTTTGGTAGCTGTGGTCTCGCTGGATCACAGTGGGGTTCGATATCACCTTCACTTCCACCCGCACTATGACTAACTGTGTTTGTTTCTCTCTTCCCCAGTGGAATGTGAAGTTCTTGAGGACACGGACTTTGTCTCTGGCTGTCTTCTGTGTGTCCCCAGGTCTTTAAGCATGAGTATTGCGCTCGATTGCCTGAATCGAGCGTCTGCTGTGTATGTGCCACCGTGCCGAGTGCTGTGGGTGGCACGTATTCCCCGTGCATTGTTTCATTTGATCTCACAGTATCCCTGTAAACTTGCGAGGTCAGATGTCATCACCATCCTTTACAGATGTGGGTGCCCTGAGAGCTCGGATAGCTCCGGAGTGGCAGAGCCAACTCAAGCCCTTGAGCAACTTAAGTCCACTTAGGGAGACGTCCACACATGAAAAGTTATTACAGGAAGAACAAACATTCCAAGCCACGGTTCACAACAACTAAAGGAAAGAAGCTTGGGCAATAGTGAGCCATCCAGCCAGAAGTGTGTGTAATGCTTTGAACTGCACAGTCAGGGTTCAAGTCCTAGCTCTGACACTTCAGGGTAGTGGGCAAATTTCTTAGCCTCTCTACACCCCAGATTTATCATTTCTGAAATGAGACTAATGATAATATGGCCTATTATTATGAAGATAATGATAAAATGAGATGTAGAGTTGTTGCGAGGATTAAGTGAGTTCATAGACAGATGTTTAAAGCAGCACATAGAATATAGGTGAGTATGTATATATAGTAGGTGACTGTATGTGCTATAGGGTGGGGAGGCAGACAGAGTCCTTCTAACCAAAGGGGCTAAAAATAAGGGTGTTCTTTCATGGTGAAGCTGGCTAGGGTGCACGAGGAAAGGAGGGTTCATGAACCTGGGAGCACCCACTTCTATGCAGCTGACTCATTCCTGCATGGAGATACAAGACTGTCCCCCCTGATTTTATTGACAGATCAAATGCAGTCACCCACGAAGTATTTGCAAGCAAGAGTCACCATTTTTTAAAAAGTGCCACCTTAGAGCCCACACCGAACACTTTATAACTTTATAACTCCACAGAAAAGTCATCAGCTTCCAGAACTGACAGTTGTGTTAGATGCCTCTAGACCAGGCAGACAGAGTCCTGCATCTGTGAAAACCAATGGGAATTTGTTCTGCCTGTCACAGGCCGGAGGTTTCTGGGAAAACAGAACTCTCCACGGAGTAAACGTCTAAATGTTCCAGATCATCAGATAGCCAGTACACACTGATGGGATATGTCCAAGACCTAGGATCCTCCTGAGCGCTCAGGAAATCTATTGTGTGTGTGCATGTGTGCCCGGTTGTGTGGCGCCTTGTGACCCCATGGACTGTAGCCCGCCAGGTTCCTCTGTCCATGGAATTCTCTAGGCAAGAATACTGGAGTGGGTTGCCATGCCCTCCTCCGGGAGATCTTCCCAACCCAGGGATTGAGTCTCCTGCATCTGTCAGGAATCTGCGTCTCCTGCATTGGCAGGAGGTTTCTTTACCACTAGCGCCACCTGGGAAGCCTGCCAAGGAAATCTTAGGGGTCCTTAAAAATATTCATCACGGGCTTTTAAAAATGATGGACGTGTTTGGACAGTTGAGACGACTTGAAAAACAGAGAAAAAAGTAAGCACTCCTAACGCCTTGCTCTGAGAACTGCCACAAAGCACGTGCTTTCCACGCGCACGGAAAGGGGGAGGCTGCGGTGAGATCACCCAGCTCCTGGGCAGAATGATTCCTTTCCGTAACCTCCCGACAGATGGCCAGCTTCCTCCACATGCTATCTGGCATGGTCTCACTTCTTTCCAGGCTTCTGGGTTTGGCAAAGCACACTTCCTTGCCTGGCGTGGAGGCAGAGGATGTGGTGTGAAGGTGGCATTTTATCCAGTTGCCTTTGCCTTTGATGATTGCACGGAGGCCAGGGCTTTGCCCTCCTGGAGACTGTTGCCCTTGGCAGCCTGATGCCCGAGCCCGCTTTGCCAGTATCTTCTTGGAGCCCTGCTCCAAACGGTCCCAACATATGCCCCTTTTCTCCGTAAGTGTAGAATCCAAAACCAGACTGCCAGACTGTTAACCTTTTAAATCTTGTCTCTGTCACTTCTTAGCTGAGGCACCCTGGGCAAGTTCCTTAAGTAAGCTTGAGTTTCCTCGTCTGAGAAACAGGTCTCATAAAAGCACCTGTTCTGTTGCAGTGACTCAAGGACTTAGTGAGTTAATGGATGCGGAGCTCCCCATGCCCATATGCTAAGCACTTAGGCTGCTGCTGCTGTTCCAGGCAGACCCAAGATGGAGCAATGCAGATTTATGCAAATTTCCTGACTGTTATCCACTGATTTGTGAGCTGAGTGTATGCATTCACGCTTTGGAAACTGGGAGTCAAACCCCTGACAAGGGAAGATGTAAGAATCAGATTCACTTCTCTTTCAGAAAAGATGTGAGCTTGCTGATGTTGAGGAGAAAATAGAACACCTTTTCCTTTATTTATCTGTTTCATTTTAAAAAGAAGTTCCAAATGACACCAATCAAAGGTCAAAACCCAACGCTGGCAGGTCAAGCAACTCACAACGAAAAATTTTTTTTTATTTATTTCACTTTGTGGCTTTCTCTTTCCGTTTAGTTTTGCAGCTGGATTAAGTCAATGTTTTTCACCTTTTCTTGGAAGTTATTCTTTACTTTTCCTAAATTCTTTCAGTCTCTTCTCCTTATTGTGCTGTGATTTGAAAATAAATTTTCAGCTGTCTTCTGCACCCCTGCTCTCCAGCCCCGCTACCCACTGGGTGAGAGGAGTCTTCTAGAGCCTTTGTCTCTCCCCCTCCTCCCCTCCTCCACTCATTACGAGGAGTCTGCTGAAATGTTTACCCCGCACTGCCCCCACACA